GAGAAGCATTTCCTAGCAGGGAAGAAGGTTTTAGGAAACAGACTGGGGGACTGCTATGGAGATCAAATACAACGCTGACCAACAATTCACATGTAACAGAGCAATCAACACACAGACTTTTGCTCAAAAAACAAGTTCTGTTTTGGGGGTTTTGTGTGTGTGTGTATGTGTGTGTGTGTGGAGTTGGATTTTTATTTTTTCATTTTATAGAGGTGACTCTTGTATAAAGGCAGGTATTCCCAACAAACCATAGCAATGGATGCCATGATAAAAATATGGTGGTAATGCAAAACTGGTAAATCCAAGGTAAACACTTGTTATAGAGCACACAGAAAAGAGGAAAAAGAAAGGATTAATCAGTGCAGGTATAGTCAAGAAAAATTTTTCTAAACAATCTTCCTGTATTAAAAAGAAACCCATTATACTTGCAAGTCACTTGCAGAAAATTTTAATAATTTGCCAAATATACAGCTATTAGAATTACCCTAAATAGCACTTATAATTAAGTTACAAAAGTTGATAGATAGCATAGTACAATGTTCTATAAAATAAACACAGGTAATATTAACAATACCCCCTGCAGTCCAATAATGGCAAAATATAGCAAATGAAATTACAAACACATACAAATTAGAGGAGATCGAATGACGGCTTTAGACACTTGAATCAAAGAAATCGAGACCAGACTAGATACATTCATCCATCAAGCATAATTAATGTAGAATTTTAGATTTTAAAAGCAACACCACAGCATCAGGTGCAATTTCACATGCTTTCATTTACCTTCCAGTACAGTTCCCAGAGGATTAAAGTGCCTTTGTGCACTCTACTTTCATTTACAGCCAGGTGCAACACATAGTATTTGGAAGTTACTTCATAGGTAACTTTTATTTTAAAAAATAAAATAACTATTTGAAACAACGCACACGATTCAAACTAAGGTGTGTTTAAAGTACCTTTTTTCTGACTATTTGCTGTTGAATGTCATATAACCAAACTAAACTCCAACCACACAGGGCCCATCGCCACTAAACAAGACAACAGTGGAAGATATTCCTTGAAGTGTGTTTTCTGCTGTACAATCCTCAGCTTTCCTCCTCCTTCCCCTTTCAAACTCTGCTCAGTTACATTTCTCCTTGGGTTGACAACCTTCTCTGCAATTTTCATTTACAGATGGCCGTGAACATGGAAAATGGGCTGTATTTGGCCCGTGGCTATGAAGAGGAACGTACTTCCCAGGTAACATCCTACAAGCGTCTGTTGTAAGTCGCTGAATACACATGGCATATTCTCCCTGCGAGATACGTGAAAACTCGCAGCCTGTGGATCTCATCTGTAGCGATTACCCGCACTGCAGAACTGACCCAACGTCCTACTCGGGGCTCCTTACAAACTTTCCCCACTCCCCACTATGCTACCTCCTTAAACCCAAACCTCAATGTCAACAGCAGTAAGAAAACTTCATGCGGTTTGGCTGTCGCTCATCTTGCCCCCAAAACGCCCTCTTCAAAACACAGATAAAGAAGTTTCATAAAACTTGATGATCCAGCCTCCCATCAAAGTACGCTCTCCACTAACATTCCACTCCTCCTCCATTTCCTTTCATGGGAGAGTGCAAAAGGGAAATTGCATTGCCCACAGTATTTGAGGCATTTTGATGGCATCTTTCAATACCTTCACTCTAAGAGCAGTTATGGGGCATGAAGGTTTTTTTAGGAAATAAAAATTTCACTTTAAATCATTCCACAATGATGCTATGGGAGGTCATCTGTGGTACCAGAGCAAGGGCTGAAGGTGGCACTCAGGAGGAAAGTTTACTTGGAAAAAATTAAATAAATTTGGAGGGATGATGAACAACTAATCCTAACTTTAAACAGACGTGGATGCAAGTCTCCTTCCTTCCTTCCACTTCCTTCCTATACTTGATAGTACTTTGTATTTTGAAGTGAGAACACAATGTATAGATGTATAATTCACTAACATTACCTAAAATACTGTATGCACTGAAGTATTTCAGGAACGTACGCACTCTGTTAATCAAACTAAAGGAAAGTGGTCATTTCCTAATCTTCTGAGTACTTTAAAAGTTCTCCATGAAACTGTAGGGTTATGAAAAAGAATGGTCGGACTATGCATTACAGCAGAAAAAAAAAATAGAAAACAGTACAAGTTTCATGTGAATCACAACTGTAAGTCTCCAGTTGAAGTTCATAAAATGATTTGATTAAAATATTTTAAACATTTCATAATGCTATAATAATTTCCAATGTAATTTATGCAACAAATGGCACCCATATCCAAAAATACCATATATGTAAATGCTTTTTTTATAAAACTTTATACAATTCAAGCTCCCATTAGGTAAGCCTATACACAATTCGCACAATCACCTACGTAGAAAGTTTTTCTGAAAAGTATATTCTCAGAGAGTACATGAATGACAATGCTTCCATGGACCTTCCCCTTCGACGAGTGATTCTGCCAAATCAAACTCTTATTGCTTAAAATCAAACCAGACGGGTTTCATCAACGACATACACACCACACGAGTCCAGGGAAGGGCCCTGCTTTCAGTTTTATGGGGCAGAAATACCTATAGGTCTTGTTACCATTCCGTAAAGACTCCCACGGAACTGTCCCGCTTTGTAGAGAACAAAAGGGACGTCACTGGGAGGGAGATCGATGGCAATACATACGTTTAGTGACCAGTGGCTCCCTTTTCATTTTCTAATTAATTCTGTTATCTGTTTAACGATTTCTGCGAATACATCTCCAACTATAACTGAAAAACAGTGCGGTAGAAGACACTAGAAACACCAAATCTAAAATGTGCAAGAGCAATGTGAATATAGTGCCTTTGCAGGCATAAATTCACAGTTGGTACTATGCCAAAACACCTCTACAGCAAGCGTTATTTACACAACTTCCAATTAAAAATACTGTCATCTCTCAGGTTACATTTTAAATTAACAGATATACATCCATAATAACTACTGGTAAAAAAACATGATAAAATTACTTTTATTTTTTTTTTTTATTCAAAATATTCTGACAGTTGAACAATATTCCAGGTGCATTACAAACACGGCCATAGTCAACACAACAATCAATACTTAAAGAGCATTCAAACACTGAAGACGTATATCTTAAAGCAGAGACAGGAGAAGGAGCTTATACTAAGAGCACACAGATCATTTTCCAATAACTGACTTCTTTGAGGCAGATGTCTGATTTCTCCGGCACAAAATGGATTAAAATCCAGAAGAGATGAATTACAGAGGACAAAAATTCAGATGTATAAATGTTCCCCTCCCGTATTTTCTATAAAACATTGTGAATTTATCATACAAGGCCACTACCAGCCTAGACTACTCTAGTGTTAACTATTTACGGGATAGAACAACAAAATCATAACAGAGAAACCAGCGTCAAAGCAAATAAAACCACAAACTCTTCCTAGAATATGGCTTAAATTAGTTCACAGAGAGTTGGGAATATATTAACTAGATGATGCAATGGAAATACCAGGTAGAAAAAAGTTATTTTATCTTCCTGATATTTTCCCCTCAGCCTTCACCATAATTTGCATAAAATTTTCAACAAAATGATACTGCCTCTCCTGCAAGCATCTTTTCCCATGCTTCAAAAACATTCTGTTACTAACAGATTGGTTTCATTCTTGAATATATTGGCCAATATTAGCTCTAAAGTTTAAACAATGTAGTTCTACACATAATACCCTGTTTCTTCCAATTAACCCAGGTTCTCAAAGAGCTAAAATTTCAGCTTTATTTAAAACAGTGTATTTGAAAAACTATTTATCTCTTTCTGATATAGAAAAACACACGTCAAATCGAGAACTTGCAAAGACGCGTACACAAATGAGTGCATAGTGCAGGACATCACACAGAGAGAGCAGCAAGGCCACGGTGTCACATTAAGTCCGCGTGTAAAAGATGTATGTTTCCAATGACCAAATCCATTCTAAAAAGTTTTACTTCTGGGGCTTGCTTAAAGCATTAAAATCTTGCTCTATGGATGGCCAGACTCCTCCGTCCCGACTTTTCATCTAGCTGCCTATATACGCATGGTAGGACAGCCACGTACACAGCATACAGAAGAGACACACCCAAAGTGCTTTGGATACATCATCCTGATCTCAAATATTCCATATGAAAGCTTGATTTTTTTTTTCCTGTGAAAAAGAACAAGTGGGATAACTTTCAAATTACACAGCTTCCCTATGCAGCATTTCAAAAAAAAAAAAAAAAAAGAAAAAAAAAAGGGCCGGCTTTAGCCCAGGGTACGAGAGCCACAACTCCGCTGCAACAAACGGAGGTACGTCTGGTTGCTCCAGGGCTGAACAGGATCTTCGCAGTCAAGGGTCCTTCACCTGTATGGCTCACAGTTTCCAGTCAGTGGAAGCATGAAACGCTTGTTGCAAAAAAGACAAGCGGCAAAGGGCTAGAGGAAATCTCTGTATGCTTACTTAAAACGCTTTGTTTCCCCATTTGATTAGTTTGCTTTTAAAAAGCAATGTTTTTGGAGAAGGGCCATCAGAACAAAGCAGTGAGGCATTTCCCTTAGTCACAACATCAGACACTCCATTAACAGATTGAGTTAACCTCCTAAACAAAATCGGTTCCCAGAAAACCTTGCGTTTGCATTCTTTTACTCTTTCTTAGAAACTAACAGTTTCTCTAGCAGTTGTGCAGTTTAAGCCTGTTAGGGCATTTTACTCCAGCATTTTCTTAGCACCTCAACAGAAATTACGTTGTAGCTTGTCTGTGGTGAACATGGGCTAGGGACAACCACCAAGAGGGGAAGTGCCCGCAACCAGGGCTGAAAGAACAGCGGTATCGTCCCCTGACATTGAAAAGCGCTTTTTGATACACGGGCTTCCAGGTTAGACTCCTGATTCAAAGTGGGATTTCTCTCAACGTAGGGTTAACTCCAGTTATTGAAATACAGTAAACACAAGAGGGCAGTACTGAGGACATCAATCCTGCGCATTAGAGTTTTCAGTCCATTTTCTAAAAACCTGTTAATTGAGATACGGCTCAGTGTCAAGGCTAAGTGGGCAAATGTTATCTACGCTAAAGTTGTTACGGGAACTAACATAATCCTTGCTTATTGTACAACTGTACTCCTTGGATTGAAGCCAACCATATACATTCCATCCTACTGATTTACCTATCCTGCTTAATCTCAAGTATCTTCATCCTTTCACACTCCATTAATTAGTTATCAATTATTTTCCTGAGTGAGATTATAAAAAGTTAAACCCTTCTACCAAAAGTACAAAGACAAATAAAATATAGAACAATACAAACCCAGTTATACAGCATTACAAGTGCAGAAATTCTTCATGTTGTTGCTCTTCTTTATCATTGGCCCCCAGTAAAAACCATAGCAAAGAATTTAGTTATCCAAAATATTTTGAAGTACTGTGATTAAATTCTTCAGACCATAAATGTAGCCCTCATCCTTTGTGTTGCTAGGAAACACATGAGCAAAATCGATCATTCGGACTTCTACGTTTGCGCTTTCCTTGATCTCTGCTGGCATGTGACAGAAAACTTTTTCCAGTTGGGGTATAACGTTTCCGTTCAGATGCTCTTGCGTAATGCACGTGCTGCTTTTCCACACGTTGTCTTTCTCTAAGTTTTCAACTTTTAGTGAGAGTTGACTGTGGTGCCTCTTGGAGTACGCCTTTTTGTGAAGTGCATAAAATTTGGACAGGCCTTTACTTACAGAGGCCTCAATTTTTCCATTCTCTGTAGAATTTATTACATGAATATTATTATTATACTCCAGTATGTCTCCACCTGATAACAGTCCTTTGGGCACTCCTCTCTTCTCTGCCAAGGTGACATCACTCAACCGCACGGTTGTTGCCTGACACGAACCTTCATAAACAAAGAGTAATGAGCTTGCATAAAAGTTGAGTTGCTTCTGGCCCTCAAACCACTCCAAAATTTTTTCAATCTTCTGAATGCTGGCAGCTATCGCATCTTTCCTCAAGCAGTACCCATTGTGGAAAAATTTTGAGATGCCTGCAAGATATAGACACGTTTCGGGATTATTTTCACCTCTGAAAAGAAATGAAACATCTTTCATTTCTTTTGGGATGAGAATGGTACTCCATCTGAAGAAACAGACAGCGTTCATGTAGTTTCCTTTCAGGCAATTATTAACTAAATCAGAAGCGAATCGAGGATCTCTGATACCTTCAGTCACCTCCCCTGTGTAAGGCCTGCTGTATAATACTACAGATTGGGCTTGGATTGTAAATAAAACTAACAAGTCAATGTATCAATCAAAAGGTAGACAAACACGGTTCCTGCTCCCCAGGTCATTTTAGCAAATATCTGGACAGTTTTGGGCACAGACCCATTAAATTCTCCAGGGATAAAGGAGCTCAAGCAGCTCTGTATCA